GGAACCTTCGAAACCTGTGGCTTTATGAGGAACAAGTGGTTGGAGACGATGAGGATCCCTACTCTCTTTCGGCCAAACAAAAGCGAATGGCCATGGTGAAACGTGCGATTGCTGCCTGGGACTTGGTCACTGAAGACGTCATTTGCCAAGGTTGCAAAGGCCATCCCACAATAATGGTTGTAATTCGATGTATTTAAGCCTTTACCATAAAGTTTGACGCGCCCTGGACTCAATCAAGACACACAACGTGTTTTACCACTGCGCTATCGCGTCGAACGCTTACGCTTACAACGTGACCATTGTATCAATCAAAGAAAAGTTCGAAACCTCCTTTATTATCTAATGACCCCTACGTTACACATTGTCATTCCAAGAGAAAGCTCAATATTTGAATCTACGAGAGTTGCAAAGTCATATTACCTCATGAAACAATTAAAGTTTCTATCGTCAGCTCTCATAGGCTATAATTTCGAACTTCGAAGTACATGGTCCAATTGGCTTAGTGGAATCTGCCTCAGCGCGATGTCAAGGTGGGCGCAGCATTCTGTCGTTCCCACTACTGGGAACGGAACTCCACGACATTTGGAAAAGTAATCAAGGGAATAGTCGAGCACTGAACACGATCGCCCCCTAGCGTTCCATCGGTTGACGGTTGTTCCGGCAATGTTGACCTCAAACAAGGCCCCCTGCATCCCATCCCAACGACCGAATAACGTCGACCCCAAGTGGAACGACGACAATAAAATCTTTTTTGAATATTGGGGGACTACCCTAATACAAGGCTTGCGGTTTTATACGCATGCCCAGTGTGCGGGCTGTACGTGTCATGTACATGCAACGACGAGATGGCACTCGTCCGTCACATCAGCTTCGCCTGAGGCGATTTGTAATTGGTGCAAATCGTATGACGAGGCCAAGTTTAACTGCACAACAAGCAGAAATCACACAACAAAGGGGATCGCCCCTGGACAGCAGCATGAACAAATCGTGCTTGCCTCATGGTGTCGTTCGTGGTCACGTGTCGCCTTTGCCTAGTTTGCGAAATTGTTTACGATAGGGAAGCCAAACGTTCGAATTTGATCCACTCTCGGCCGCTTGCCAGCGGGTCGCACTACTGGGAAGAATCCGATGCATCAGGCGGGAAGGGAGAACATGGGGGCAAGCTTGGATCCAGGATTATGCGTTCGTGATCGCATACACCGACGAGGGAGCTTTCGGTAGCGTCATCGCCTCCACACAACTTTTCTCGAGTAGAATGAGTTGTCACACGCCAACTCCTGACAACACGTCCCAACGCGAGCGATGACAGATCGGAATGTTGTCGCAACGAGGGGATTTGATTTCGGAACACTCACATAAACTTGCAACAGCCAAGGTGACTCATCCCTCATCGCCTGACCCCCCCCCCAAGCCAACAATTGCGATCAATTCGTCCCTCTCACACGTTGTTTTACAGCAGGCTCGCGAATCCTCGCTGCATTCAAAGGCGGTTTGCACGACGAAGGCGCAGATTGTGAAGGCGATCTTATCGTTGGAAAATCGAGGTGTCCCGTTCCTGGGACAGGGGGGGCAATTTATCTCAAGGGTGCGCGCTTCCAAACTCGAATCGCTAAGTGCAGTTCCCCTGAGTCCAAGTCCCACGAACGTGAGGCGCAGAATGCTATCACATCATCACCGTCAAGTTCGGGCACGAGCTTGACGAAACATTCGCCACTATGAAAACAGCCACAACGACTGTTGAGCGTCACATGACAAGTTTGTGTTATCAAGACGGTAATGCCTCAGTGGGGCCCTCCCCTCGAACAAGACAACACATCTCCGCAGCACGCAATGCCGCCGAAGACAAGCGCGAGCGCCTACGAACTCAAAGCAGATTGAACCAACGGCGGTACCGCGCCAGAAAGGTCGAGCGGATGGAGCGTCTACAGGGGGAAGTAGATAATCTGACCACGGACGTGGCGCGGTTGGAAATGCGAGTGAAGTCGTTGAAAGAAGCGATGCCGCGACGCTTGCGCACGTTTGACCCTGAATGCAAGGTCGTCAGCGAGTACTTCAGGGTATTTGCCCATGGCTTCCGCCACTCGTTCCAACTGGACTTCCTCCACGGCATCATGACCGACGCGATGGCGTTCAACAGCCACGTTGGCCTGGACAGTTTGATTGCCCAGTGGACGTTGTGTATGTCAGTGTTTCAGTCTGTCATGGTGTCGTGGATTCAAAGCTGCATCGTGGTGTGCCACTCCGAAGTCGTGGTCGATGGGCTCGCGATCTTCTACCTTCGCTTGTCCCGCCACACGATCGAGGCGCTGTTTCCCCACTTGCTCAGCAACGAACCGATTGTCCAAAGACTTGTGGGCCAAGTCATGGAATTGCCGACGCAGTGTCAGTTTACGTTTGATGCAGAGTCCGTCAAAGTGAAGAAGTACTGCTGTTTTGCGTGCCCGGCGGTGGCCCTCATGAACCTATTGCACTCTGCCGAAGACACGGCCGTCGCCATCGACGGAACCCTCTTCGGCGACAATGCGGAAATCCTTCCCACGCCGCGGTTGGGAGCAATTCGTGGGGGCATTGTGTAGGACAGCTCTGATGGAAAAACACTGATCTTGCACGCTAGCGTTCTCAACGGAATGCCAGGCGCAGAGAGCGAACTCTCGCCGTCTTTGTCCCTCATGAGGTCGCCACCTTGCTTTCCGTTTTGTCAGCTTCGTCAGTGTTACGCGACTTCTCTGTTGTCGACTACACTTGACCTTTCTTCGACCCGAGAGTTGTTTCAGGCACCACTCCTCCGAGAATTGGCTCACACCTGTCCATCCGTGCGATGGCCGTGAACTGTCGCGTACGATCGATTCCGCACGCCATCGCCAAACTCGGTGGAAACGCCGGGCCTGCCAACCAGCGTTTCCAGGGAGGTTGGTAATGGCGAATGCGTCGATTGCCTTTGAGGGACGACTGCCCATGTCGAATGCAATCTCGTGGGGCGATTGGCAGGGCTACCGAAATGCAGCACTGCAGTGCCACTCGCTTGGGTCCAAGAGTACGTCCATGGTCATGAAACGATAGAAGCCATTCCGCTGACGTCCCCAGCGCCACCCTACGACTAAGACGACCAGCAGTCCTGACGATCTTGGTGTCTGGCGCCTTCCACAAACCGTCACCACGTTATCGCCACCCTTGAAGAGATATCCCAGCACAAATGCATGCCAGTCATGGCAATGACATGTCACCGACTGGGATCGTCATAACTCGGTGAGAAGCGCGTGGTGCCATGCCATCGAGATGTCAGGAGGGCGAGTGTTGCGACCGGCCCACTGTTGTACTACCGGGTGTTGAGGATGGGGAGCACAGGGTTATTCGAAAGCCTCCGCGGTCGCGGCCGAACTCCACGCCAAGATCGCTCGACGAGACCATGGCAGCAGCTCTAGGTTTGGCCTATGCACTCGGATGACTAGCGACAGCTACGTCGGTCGACCTGTGGACTGGTTGCCCGCGGAAGTTGCTTGAAGAACACAGTCGAGCGGTGATTTGGCTCGGCGAGAGAGCTCGCAGACGTCGGGTCGAGCCTCTATTCCAACAGAGTTGTCTGGTCGCTTCATTCGTATCAGGTGGGAACGACCATTCCCGTTCATCCATGTTGACGTCCACGGATGGCATCGACTACTACGCGCGACCGGCGAACCGCTGCCATCCTGGCGCGCTCTCACACAGCGCCTGGAGCAGCGCATGCCGCTTCTCGGCATCGTCCAGGAGGCGAGCTAGGTCGGGAACTAGGCGCGCGACAAAGTCGCCGTCGAACGTGGCAATCAGGTATGCGTAGAATTCCTTGGCCGGCATTTGCTGGTTGCCAAACTTGCGTGTGTTGGCCGTGAAGAGTTTAACTTGAACGGGGTCGCCCTCGAAAATGGTGTGGATCGATTCGAGGATCGACCGCTGGAGTTGCCGCGCTTCATCGCCGACGACTGGCGTTATGTCCTTGATGCGGAGCTTCCCCACGGGGTTGGCGCTGCTGATGGGCAATGAGTCGTGGTGGTCGTCAGTCTCGGCGGGCGGGGCCACGGGGGGCGTTGTGTCTGCAAAGAGGGGCAGTGCCGCTTCCCATGTCTCCTTCTTGGCTTCCACCGTCGCTTCGAGCTGCAGGCGCTTGGTTGGTTCGCTCAAGAGTTTGGCGCAATTGGGCAGGATCTGTAGCGCGACTTTGGCCCCGTACGTGTTGACGATAAAGTCGCAGAAAGCGGTGGCCGTCAGCTCGCCACTGCCGTACTTTCGACTCTGCACTTTGAATGAATCGACGGCCGCCGCTGCGTCGAGGTTCAACTCGCGACACCGATGGTGTAGCGTCGAGATCACGCCGCCATACAGCGCCTTGGCCTGGTCAGCGGACAATTTCTCCGACAACTCTTTTTCGCGTTGGGCTATCGCAACAGAAACAGGCAGCATGAGATTCCAAGCATTCCAACACCACAGTCGCCACCCATCCACGTGCACCATGACGACTGGAGCGGATGGTTGGCAGCGTACCAAGTTTTGCTTGCTCGCGTGCTTTGGCAGTCGAGTCCCACACGGTCGCGAATTCTTTCGACTGGTTGGCTCGGAACGCTTTCTGCGGCAACAAATGTCAGTCTGCGCCATGTCGTCCATTTGGTCGAACCTTCAATTCGGTCGTGAACTCGTCCAAGATGGAAAAAAAATCCATGGCGCCAAACTTGCGCGCGTCCTCGCCAAACGACCCGACCAATTCCGTGAAGGCCGACTCGACGGCCGCGAATTCTCGCGTGACTTCGTCCATGACTTCGGCGGCTTCTCGAGCGAACGGCGCCATCTTGGCGTAGAATTGGTCCAGTGGATTCGAGTCGTTCTTGGATGCCTGCACTTGCCCTTGCAGCATCGTGAGCTCCGAGTTGCACATGTTGATGTCTGCTTTGATTTGGTCGAGCGACAGCCGCTTGGCTTCGGGGATATGCGGCACCTCCGTCACAAACGAAATCAAGTCGGGCTGGTGCTCCTCCAAGTGCCGCGCCAAATAGTGCATCTACGCAACCGACCATGACGAAACGTATGTAGGAGAAGAACGAGTGGCCACGATCGCTCGTTTGAAGCACATCAAACGCCGTCAAGGCAAGCATCGTACCAAGTTGACTTTCGGGTCGATGCCACGCACTGTGTGGAGCTTGGCCAGCGCGTCCAGCTTGAACCCGTACGCGCCGCCGCGCGCCGTTCCTCCATTCATGTAATTCCCAATGGCCAGGACCTACGACATACCACAAAACGAATGGATAGCAGAACACACACAGGCGAGACGTACCGTTTCAAGAATCGCGCGAAACTTTGTCGAGTCGGCGATCTGGTCGGTAGCTGCGCTGAGCGTATCGACTTGGGCCTGGATTTCGAGCACGCGATGTTCAAATTGGAGCGAGAACCGAAAGCACTTGATCCGTTGCGTGTACCGGGGAATGCTGAGCATTTCCAAAAAGAACTTTTCGACGCCACCAAGGACATCGACCGGGCCATCGTAGTTTTTCAATATGTCTTGCTCTTCCAGCGTCGGTGCGAGTGCAATCAGCGAGCTCAAGTGGTCGACCGTGATCGCGTCCTTGTCCATTGAGAGCAAGCCAGCTTTGACTTCAGCCGGACTCAACTTGAATCGAGCAATCGCGATCCCGACATTCTGCTGCGTCTTTGAGTCGAGCAACAGGACAGCCGTGTTTTCCTTCTTCTTCTTGAACGCGTCGTCGTCGGGCTTCTTGGTCGCGTCCGGGTTTTTCCGAAACATCCATTCCAAGTCAAAGTTCTCGAGAGGCACTTTTGTATCGCTCAACGTATTCCACACAGTCGATTGCACAACGTTGACGGGAATTCGAGTCCAAAATAGCGCGCGCATGTCCACGTTTGGCTTGACGCTTTCCTTTTTGGGCAGCACAGGCTCGTCTGCAACAACGAACGAGTAAGCTTCGCTATGGCGGTGTAAGCAGGTACCGGGCTTTTTCACCGAGTTGGACTTCTTGAGGATCTGGCTCAGGTCGACTTGCTTCGGGGGGGCATTGGTCACTCCGTTGGGCACAGGCAACGTTGACGAAGTGCCGTCCAACAGCGCCGGATTGAGACCTTCCGCTTGCATTTTGAGCTGCACTTGCTGCAACGGCATGCCCATTTTCAGCAGTTTCTTGTATTTGGCCATCTCGGGGGGATCTTCCGCCACGGGTGCGGCAATCGGCGCGGGGGCCGCTGGAGGGGAGCCGTCTAACATGGACGGATCCATTCCATCGGCCGACGCTTTCAACTTGACTTGCTCCAACGGCATCCCCATCTTGACCAGTTTAAAGTACTTGGCATAGTCTGGATGCCCCTGGTGACCATTCCGTTAGGCCAAAATCCACGGGGCATTACTGCGACGGCGTGCTGGGCGCTTACCTCTGATGCCGGAGCGATGGGCGCGGCACCTTCGGCGAGTTTTCCACTGGGGGCGTCGGGAGTGTCGAGAACGTTCGGGTCGACCCCTGCTTGTTGCATCTTCATCTTTACTTGTTCGGGGGGAAGGCCCATGGACAACAGTTTGAAAAACTTGGCGTATTCCGGCAGCTCCTTCATCGTAAGCATTGCACCAGTGGATGCCGCGACCGGCGATGGAGCACCGGTCGCGGGTGTAGCGGGGGTCGCTGCAACCGCAGCACTAGTGTGGGCATCTTGAACTTGCTGTTGTAGTGTAGCAATCATGTGAGCTTGCTCCTCCGTGATAGCCAGTGCCTTGGCTTCCGTGCGGGCGAGTTTTCGTTGTAGTTTTTCGACCATTTCCTGCAGTCGTTGGTTTTCCAGCTTGAGCGCTTCGTCTTCGGCCTATAAAATGGGGCACTGAGCCATGCTGCTTGGACGCGGGCATCCCGAGTTGACTCTCCAGTACACACCAACATATCTCTGGACTACCAAGCAAGATAGAGCTGATGGACAGTCCAGCCATGAACACACATTGCGACCACACACGGAAAAATCAGCACGCCCCACCGAGGTTGGACCGAATCGGCAGTAGCGGATTCGATGGACATCCATTGGCATCGACGAAGCAGACACATGCCAAACGAAGAACATCATCAATCGTCTCCAAAGCAACGCAAGATGGTCGATGGAGGTATCAGTTGATCCACCTGTGTGGGTGTTGGCGAGGTGGCGACGAGCGGCGACGGAGGTGGTTGTGCTATCTCTTCGACGAGAGAAGTGAGCCCCGCGGACGGACCTGCCAGCTGCGCGTGATCTGGCGCGAGAAAGTTGGACATGCGAAGGAGATCATCCGCGCTGGACTCTCGCGATGTGGTTTGACCCGCACCACAGTCGATGCAAAACTTGACGTGGGGCGGCAACTCGTACCCGCACTCAATGCAGAACTTCATGGTTTTAGGCATGGACTCGATGCGGCTCAGCATCGGCGGAGGCGCCTGCGACATGCGCCGCATGAGCCTGCGACCGCCACCTTCCTGGACGTCCAGTTGGGGGTTTGAATCAAGACACGGCAGACAGAACCACTGGGCCTTCGCCATCAAGTTGGATGTGTCCATGGCTTTACGAGAGCAGTCCTTGCATATAGCGACGTGGCACCCACGGCAATGGTGACGTCGTCGAATCAACGTGAAGGCCTTCTTGCACCCTCCGCAGTGCGGTTCCCGACCAAACTCGACCGTGGTGAGGTTGTCCAGTTGACGCGTGTGTTTTCGCCACCTACACGTATCGAGCGGTTGTTCCGATCGCGAACGGGTGCCCATGTGCTTGAAGCTTTTGCCGTAACTCCAGTCTCCGATGACCCACATCGACCCTTCTTGGAAACGGTATCCAGTCGGCGGACGGGCAACCTCTAACGAAACGACGTCCTTTCCCATCGTGCCCTTCGATGAGTCTGGAGCTTCCGAGAAGTTGGCACCTTCACCAGCAAGCAACTCACTACTCCATCCCTGGACGTTCCGCCGCTGCTTCTCATACACGTCGTACGTAGTTCGAGCCGTCATCTCCATGTCGCCGCCGCAGCCTCTTTGGTGACAGAGATTATCTGGATAATCATCCGGATCAGCGATAGCTTGAAGTAAACGAGGTTTCAAACGCGTTCGAAACAACGTAGGTATCAGTGGGTGCCTGCCTCGACGACATTTGCGCTGGATCACGTTGGTGGTCAGCTCTCATGTCAGCTATTGCTCGACCTGTGCATTCCATCAGCGTCCTCTACATACTACGCTTCTTTCTCGTCGATGGAGTGCATATGCGCATTCTGGTCGAGCGAAGTGAACATTGCAGTATTGAACGTCTTGACATGGGGCGATTCCTTTCTAAAAATACCGTTAAAGTATCGACTTGTCTTCTTACGACAAAAGACTAACTATACAGGACGCAAAGAAAAACCACGCGAAACCCATTTTGGCGGGCTTATCATGTCTGGGATGAAGTACAATCGTGATGACGAGTATCGTGCTCGACCAGCGCAGGTTTGAAGCCCCAGGATGCATGGTACGCGCTGATGTTTCTGCGGCCCGTTCGAAACGGATAGAAGACGTTTGTTTCGAAAACTGCACAAATTTGTAACTGTCACACTTGTCCACTTGGAAAAAACGGCATGTCCAAGTTGAGGGCCGCCAAAATGCCGCCACCACCGTGCCGCACGCTAAACTCTGGAGATACATTGCGTGCTTGCACCTTCCTTTGAATGTATGGAAGAGGAAGGGGCTCTGTCAGGAAGTACGGATGCTTCAGTGCCTGGATCAGCAAAGTGAGTTGTCGGACGTGGAAGGACGACACACCTCGGCGGCATCAAGACGTTGCGACGGATCATACACCAGCAAGTGCTTGAGTAAATCCAACGCAATGCTGTCGGTGTCTGCGAAGAGCGTCTCGAGCGGCAACGGGCTGAACACGGGAAACGAAACCTTGTGGTAGTCGGGCAAGTCGGCCATGCCAGGCCACGTCGGGGACCCAAGCACTTGCATCACGCGAAAGATCTGGTCGATGTCATTCATGCCTGGGAATAGCGGAGCATGTTGCAAGAGCTCCGCGAAGACAACTCCGACGGCCCACATGTCCACCTTGTGATTGTATGTTCGAGATCCGAACAAGAGCTCTGGAGATCGATACCATCTTGTCGCGACTTGATGAGCATATTCGCGTTCGGGTCCAGTGTACACCGTCGCAAGACCGAAATCACTAAGCTTCAGGACACCATGTTGGTCCAAGAGCAGATTCGACGGCTTGATGTCCTGTTGCGAATGATGCAGGAGAGGTGCAGCTTCACGATGAAGGTAGGCTCGTACTCGATGGAGAATCTGTTGGGTATGGCAGCACTCAACGCCGCGGAGAAGCATGTACATGAGAGATTTAGTGTCTTGCGCTGAAAAAGCAGCAGTCGAGTTCGCTATGAGCTATGTCAGGGATGTATGAGCAGACAAAATACAGCTGACGCACGAACATGAGCTAGATCAGTTTCCATGTACTCGAGCACGAGGCCGACGCTCGCACCTTCAGGAATTACATCCACCAAGTGCACGACCTACATGCACAACTGGGCGTTGGTTCTCACGCCACGCCCGCTGTAGTTTACATTGGGGTGGTCGAGATGGTACATTGCTTGGATCTCGTTGAAGGCCGCCGGAGGGATTGTCTCCATCTTGGAAGCGTCACTTCCAGTCCGGATGCGCTTCAGAGCGAAGACGTGCCCCGTGGCAATCTCTCGGATTCGATAGACTTCTCCGAAGTTCCCGTGCCCCAGCCGCTCCAAGAGCTCGTACTTGTCGTCGAAGCGGCCGCCCGGCGGCCTATCCATCTCTCGAGGATCTCTTGGGTTGTGCGACGGTGGGGTTCAACGCAACGTCGTTTCACGCATCTTCTACATATTTTTCTTGATTTTACTAGAGAATGGAGGGTGAGTTTTTCAAATTTTGTTGAATTTTCAGAAAATGCATAAACGTGATCGGTTGAGTTTTTATCACATTTACTTGGTCAACATGGGAGTCGACGATGGCGATGCCGCGGATGGCGCCGCGACGACAACGCACGTCCTGGACATCCAAAGCGACTGGCAAACAACAGCGGATGACTCCTTCTGGGTGAGCTCGTCAGATCGTGTCGTTCTGTTGAACCCCGATCCGATTGCTGGCGCCGATGTCGTGCTCTATTCAGCCTCCCCGACCGTGATACATTCAGTGCACAAGACCAACCGAGGAATCGCATCGTCACCGTACCACATTACCGGCCAGTCTCGCTATGGGTTAACGATTGCTTCGGAGTTGTACTCGACGACATTTTACACGCCCCATGCGCAGACGTCGATGCAAACTCAGGTTCGCTAACAATCCCTCGTGCAGTCTCCAATCCATCGACTCAGCATGCGGGTAGTTGTACGCCGTGTCCACGAGCCCGAATGGCGCGTTTGTCGGAGTCGGGGGTGCCGATGGTCTCTTCCACCTCACCCAAATCCCGACTCACACGAGCCTGCACCTTGCTGGTCATGTCGCGGACGTCACGCACGTCGCGTTCTTTCCGAGTTCACTGGTGGCCCTCACCGGAAGTACCGACTTTTCGCTTCGTATATGGTCTCTCCAGTCGTTTAAGTGCGGCGCTGTACTGCGCGGACACCGCGGCGCCATTTGTGGCATTGGAATCCTCGGCCGCGGCCGCAACGTCGTGTGTACGTCCTGCCACTTGCTTGATGAGCCTTCCATTGACTGCTTGCCCAGCGTGCGCGCACGATCGCTTGGTCAAGCTGTGGCACTGCGGAACGAGCTACAGCTTTCGCGATTGGGCGCTGTCGTCCACGCCGCGGTGCCTGAACGTCACTAGTGCGCTGCCACGAGAACCACACGATCTCGTTGAACCGTTGGGAATCGAGCCCAATAACATGGAATTCGAAACCAGTTCGACGTGGCTGGTGGTAGGAACCGACGCGGGATGCACGGTCCTCGATGCGCGGGCGCCTACTCCTGTACGACCTGAGTGTTTCATCCATCCTAGGACTTCCCCTGACTGATATAGGTCACACTTCTCCCGCATTCCGCGGCAGTGACGTCGTGCGCAACAAAGTCGCTAGATTCCGCGACTCTCTTGATCACCGGGACGGAGCACGGCGTGGTGTCATCTTACGATATGCGATATGAAAAGTATGCTGGCCATGCTGCACCGATTCCAGGGCAACTGATTTCGTTTGTGTAGACGTCCTTTGTGCATGGTATCCCGCAGCGGCGCGGACGTGCGATCGATTCAGTGGGCGGACAAGTCGATGGACGTGTGGGTGGCGACGGCCGACGGAAGCTGCACGAGATGGAGTGGCTTGGTGTCCGATGGACGCTCACCACAAGTGACGGGGGAACTAGTTGGACCGACTTACGACGCAGTCAATGGCGTCAGCGTCTCGGTAGGAGGCACTCTCTCGACAGTGTCCAGGGACGGCATCCTGCGATCGTACGATATCGCGGCGGCGACGAGATCACAGCCAAACGCGGCATGAATTGGTGCTTACATGGTCTCAGCTGGCCACCACGGCCCATGTTGGAGAGCTTGCTGAGGGTTGTTCCGTCGGGCTCGAAGCAACTCGCCCAAACAATGCATTTTGTATAGTATTACTATAGAGTAGGTCTAATATGACTTGTAACATTTTCCAAGTATTCTTTCAACTGATTCATTGTGCCGTAGTACTACTAAAATAAAACTGAAGTACTATTCCAAGCCGGAGTATTTCGAGCAATTAACTCGAACGAGGTGCCATCGAAGCGACACAAGAGATGATGATGCCACCAACGGGGCCTGGACCGACATTGCGGCGCCTGCAAGCTCTCCGGTCTGGCAAAGAAACGTCGCAGTTGCTGGTAAGGATGCAGACGTGTCATGCGCATACACGTTCCATGCTGGTGATGTAGCCGTTGCTCCAGCTCGTGCACGACGGAGTACAAGAAGTCGTGATGGTCCAGCCGTTGGATCCGTTCCGATACATGGCGTCGTACTTGCAGCACAACGTACAGCGATGATGGCAGCACGTTTAGACATCCTTAACATGATGGTAGATGTCCCTGGACGCGGAGCTCGAAGAAGTCGCATTGACCAAGGAGCTCCACCGCAAGCAGATCGCGTTGGGCAAACTCCGCTTGGAACTAGCACATCTTCGCCATGTTCGGGTGCACGCCCTTCGTGACTGTTTGGTGTGCGAACAAGACTTGCGCGTCGGCGAGATGGAGACAGTCGTGACGGCCGACGACCACGCATTTCTACAGCCAGAGCCGCAGAAGAGTCAGGTGGATTGGACTCCGCCGACAATCCCAAGCCACTTTGACGACGATGCAACCACGACCATCCATATTCTTGACAACAATCGAAGCGCTCTTGAGGTACATTTCAACGTGATGGCTCACGCTTTCAGCGGTGCTTGGCTAGTATTTCCTGCCAGAGTGCATAGATGCCATTGTTCAGCTCGGGGTACGGAAAGCCGGTGGCCTGTCCGCGCTATCCCACGAGTAACTTTCACAGCAGAATGTCAAGCCACCGGATCCATTGCGCTGGCTGGTACAGCACTTTTACGCCAAGGTTTGACCGCTTCGGACTTCTTCATGTGGCGGTCGTTATCCCGTTTTGCCAGTCCAGCGCAGCCGAGTACGAGCTCGCCGCGCTCAAGGCGACCGTGGGCAGCTATCGATGGTACATCGACCAGGTCCGCGGAGAAGTGCCGATCGCCGAGGCCAACGCGTGTGCTGCCAGTGCGAAGCAGGTAGGACTCACTGCAGGTCTCCGCCACCAGCCGAATGTCGGTTCGATGGCCCATTGTAGCAATCCCTGCGCGCTCAACTGAGCGAGCGGAATCGGTTGATTTTGCATCTAAGTGTTACGCACTTGGGCCCACGCACGGATCGCCACATGAAAGGTGAGCGGCTGATCCATCCAACAACCGGCGATGAACAAAAGGCGAAGGAAAGCAAGTGCTGGTGAATCGAGAAAAGCTGTGGATTTCGCCAGAACACATCGAACCTATCGATCAGTTTACACCGTGTGCGTCCGTTCTCCTTGGATGATGGCGACACTAATGGCGATGCTGCATGGGCAGTTCAACTGCACGCACTTCACCGTGCCGAAGCGTTCTTGATGGAGGCAGACGAGGTCGCGCTCAAGACCAAGCTCCAGTTCGACCTCGAGTACCAAAGCAGCACAAAGATCCAAGCCACGTACAAGTGCCACGTGCTGTATCGCATGCATCAACAGGTCATGGCAACGCGGCATGCGGCCGCCGCGCGTATTCAGCGCGTGTACGAGCGGTATTTGTACGCCAAAGCGATTCAACTCCCGCCTTGGTGCGTTCTTGGACAGCAAGTGCTAGTCGCCATGTCGATCGCTCGGCGCGCCGGTACGGCAGCCCCCCAAAGTCCCCACATGGCCATGACTTGCGCGCGTGGTGTAGCAATCTGGTTTCAGTTCTATGCGGGCAAGGACTTTGCCGCCGGCAACTTTACGACGCTACCGCCCCCACACAGCATCGACATCCTTGAAAAGAGATGCCGCCAAGACGACAAGTGCGCTGCGTTTGCGTCCGACGGGTCGCTCAAGCGATTTGTGCCGCGACAACTGTCCCAGCTCCATGCGCTCAAGGCAACGGACGGTCGCGAAATCGACATGGCGGTCGACGGGCTCTACGTCAAGCGCATCCCACGTACGCAACTCTTGGGCCAACGCCACCACGATCAAGTCACCATTGGTAGAGAACGACGACGAAGTGACGACGCATGCTATTGTGACGAGCCTCCCGACCGACAAATTCGGGCCCGTCCGCGTTGTTTTTGACGGAACCGGGGTTCCAGAAGACATTCCAGTGCAAAAGTTGAGTGTCCGGTGGAAGCGAACGTATGATTTTGAGACGGACACGTGGCATTTTGTGGACGGCGTGACGCAGGCGAAGGCGGCTACTGCGCCTGAGGTAAGCCAGCTCTTTTGTTTGATGGCAAACGTGGTCATGACGCCGTGAGTGGCTGCTACTCGGGTAGCCATACGCGGACGACGAGAGCCGACGGCGCGAGATTGACGCGCGGAAGCGATCGTACGCGTTGGAGCGGGATGCCAACTACATTGCCAAGAAGCTCCAAAGCGCCATCACGTTGCAATGTGCCTACCGCAATCGAAGTACGTTGTGCATGGACGATTCCACTTAGGTTTTGTTGGTGACGGTTGTTTGAGTAGAAGCCCGCCAGTTATTCCGGTACATGCTTGCTCTCCGTGAAAAGGAAAAGGAACATGCCGCCAAAGTCGAGCAAGTCGCTGAGGAAGTCGCCAAGAAGAAGAAGAAGCGGAGATGGTGGTTTGAACGGAGGTAGTTGTTCGTGCACACACCCGTTGTGTGGCTCAGACGCAACTTGTCCGGGTACCGCCGCAGTGCAGAGCGCACCAGTATGCAAAAGAATCGTGCCAACTCGAGTGTTCCATCGTGGGATAGCCAGGTCGTATCGTAGACTATGCATCTGGCACATTTTACTGACGGCGCCACTCAACTTATCGAGAAGTCGACGCGTTATACGCCGTTTCCTGGCTCCCACGAAATCGGTGGCGCGCCCAACGACTACAAAGGTCGGATAGCCTTCCCTGACCACCACGAAACGCCCAACGAATGATTTAAGCGGGGCGATCTGTACTCCTCTCTTGGCCATGAGCGAGAGTCCGTCGCGAAAGACTCGATGCGGACGGTGCTGGGCCTGGTGGATACGCATGCGTCGTGGTGGTGTTGACTGGTTGCGACAAGGGCGGGGGCAAGACAGCTTGTAGCGGATGGCTGACATGTGCAAGAGTGTGCAGTCCGTTTGCCCGTAGCTAGCAGGGCTTGCGCCAAAGTGTGCACTTGTCAGGGAGTGCCGACAGTTGAAACGTTCGCATACACACAACGGGGGCACCTATTTTGAGTCCATTACTCGAATCCCCCGTCGGCGATGCTGCAGTCGCCGCGAACGAAAAAGGTCGCGGTGGTGCGGGATCCAGACATGACGAGTGTCCTGTCGCCGCCCACGTCGTACAATGTATATCCGTTCCAAGGGCTCCAGTCGCCCCCCAAAGCCCCCCGCACAGACTCGAAAACGTACTGGCCCGGTCTTGAGTTTTCGTCTCAACCTTAGCTCGTCGGTAGACCGCCCAAACGCCTTAAACAACTGGACAAGCCAGCCCTGTATGCGCTATACTCCATCTGATCTCGAACTCTGACATGGCGTCGTAGCTCGGCCGTCCATTCGTGGCTCCCTCTGACCAGACCGTATTCCCCCTTAGGGGCAGTGTCCCCCACGGCTGTAGTGCACCACTTGAGCGAAGAGCAGTACCCCCACGTCAAGCAGCACGACCTGGCCCAGATTGAGGACTGGCTCGTCGGGTTTGAGCAGGAGGCGCGCTCGTTCACGTCGTACTTTTTGTTTTGCGAGCTCAAGTTTCAACAGTCTGCCGTCCTGGCGACAGGGCGGGACGTGCCGAATCGACTTCGGACTGCCGTCGCGTTCTACTGCCTCCAGCAAGCGTCGTCCATCTTTGGGCGGTACCAGTCCGTGCTGGACACGATCTGCTTGTACGACAGTCCATTATGGATACTCTAAGACGCTTCTTGTGTGCGCAGGAACTTGGGGTCAGCGATCTACACAAGCTTTGGAACACTGCGGCGCGGCCGCCACCTCACAGCCCTGGAGTGCTATCACGCCGGGGTAACCTACTTTGATCAAGTCCAGTCGCTCCAGCAAGAAAACGCCCAGCTACAGTCTCGTACGAGAGTCCCGTGCTGCGCCACGTCACCCTTTTCGTTCGTTCGTCCAGGCAAATCGTCTCTCGACGAGTTGCTCGTCCGACTTGAGCAACGGGTGCAGCAACTTGAAGCCGAGAACGCAGCATTCAAATCAAACCCAGGCCACAGCACGGTCCCGGCATCGAACACTGTCAGCGCCTTCACGAAGCTTGCGCTCAGCAACGAATTCAACCCTGCGGCCAACATGGAGCAGCGGGAAAAGATGGGGTACATCCTCAAGACGTTCAAGGCGCTCGATGCCAACGAACGGCTTCAAGTCCTTCTAAGCCAAATGGACATGATCGGCGCGAATGCAGACATGTTGCTTACAATGATCCACGCGCTGCCGCCTCGGGAGCGCAACACCCTGCTCGATCGTCTCGTCCAAGACAAAGTCCAAACGATGCAGTCGTCCGTTCGACAACATCTTTGCTAGAAAAGACAGTTGCTGACACCGCGTGTATAGGACATGGGCGGCGGAAGCCGCCGTCCGGGGTGTCCAACAGCAGAACGAGGACGCGAACCAGTACAAACATCGCCTCATCAAGTACCAGGGATTGATTCAAGACGTATTGGCTGGGATCCACGTCTCGGCTCTCGACATTCCACCTCAGGACGTACGTGCAAGTCCATCGACCTTTTCCCGCGCCGTGCCTGCCACGGAGCACTCACGGTGGCGCTGTCGGGTGTGCTTAGAAAGGAACGATTGAGGCGCTCGCGAGTTTGGTTGAAGCGTTGGCGCAGGAAAAGGACAAGGTGAAGCGATACGAAGCCCGCGTGTTTGGCATGACAGCGATCCATGCCAAGAACAAAGCAGACGTGGAAGGATCATGGATGCACAAGTGCCACGAGCTGCAGGCGAAATACGACGCAGCGGAAGCCGAGCGCGTGCAACTTGTCCAGCAACTCGATGCGGTCCACGAACGAATCGAGGCAGAGCGAGTCGAGCGCGCCGCGCGGCCAACCGACACGAACGACAAACAGACCCAAGTTCGTCCGGACGAGCTGCAAAAGTCTATGATGCACAACGCCGACAACAACGAGCGCAAGTTGACGCAACTAGGGTTCAACGGATCCAAAGGCCATAAATCGTTCACTGGTTTGGCTAAACTCGTGGAGCCGTTTGCAAGCAACCAGTTCCATAGGGTTGTACATGATGATTCAAGAAGCCAACTACTCGGTTGCGAGTGTCAAGCGTATTCTGGCCAAAAAGCGGCCTCTGAGCATGCTGGAGCTCCACCAAGTCATCTCGGGGTTCTATCAAACCAAAATGAGCCAGGACATTGCGGACGACAACATGCATCGTCATCGCGAAGGTTGGTCGGCCAGCATCGTGTAAAGTCGATTGTCATCGGTCTTGTGACGGCGGCAGGGCTAGCGCAAATGCTGCTCGATTCGTACACGGTGTACTATGGACTGCGCGAGTTGGCCATGGGACAGCTCATTACGCTTGACTCGGCCATTCGAAAACACGCCGGGGTATGCCATGCTGCCGACTCCCTCGGTGCACAGAAACCTCTCGACGTAACGACTGCTGCCGGTGTAGAAAAGCGCACGCATTCGACTGTTTGGATTGCTGGTCGGGTCCCTCGAACCAGGAAGCTATGCGTCGTCCGCCCCAGCCATTGACTTTTTGCTGTTTGTCGTCGGGGTGCTCTTCAACGGTGCGATATCGTTCGTTCGTCGCACGTTTGGCTCCGTCCTTCTTGACGACGCGAATGACGTAGTGGGCAACTACCGCATGCATGAAGAGAGGGCGCAAGCAAACGCCAAGCAGCTGAAAGCGTGGTTTGGCGACGGCATCAGCGGCAGCCAGAACTGCACGATGATTCCACTAGGTGGACAAACCAACGTGAATCAACGTTGCCGGCACTCAATTCCAACTGTTAGACAAACTCATTCAGACGGTGCAGACTGTGTTTGCGCACAGCCACGTCACGATCGCATTCATGCAAGACTTGTGCCAGACCCAAAACGAGAATGGCGACGTCGACCTCGACGTGGCGCTCGAGAAAATCATGTACTACTGGCTCAAGCTGTACGCGGAGCAGATCGTGACGATGCACAATGTGTTTGAGCTTGGGGACAAGGACACCAACGGCGTGTTGGACTTTTCAGAGTTCAGGTACCCCTGCCGCCATCACCGTTGCAGGATGTGTTGACGGCTGCTGCGTAGCGCTGTGGTGCACCATCTCGACCCAGACATGACTCGACGGGACTGCCTCGAGCTGTACAACCACGTCGCAGGCTCGGACAACGTGATCGACAAAGAAGAGTTTGTGATGGGCATGATTTTGCACCAGCGCGACATCGGGCTCAAGTCGTACTTTGCCGCGGACCACGCCGTCATCGCTAGCTCCTCGGGTGCGCCCGCCACCCCCACGACCGCTGCCGTTATGTGCACTTCTGCGACACCGACAATATCGAAGCGCCTGAACACGAGGACCACGGGGGAAGCTCAACCCCAGATCCCGTTCAACCCTGTCCGGCAACTCACCATGCTCGTGTCCAAGTTCAAAGACGGCACCAGAACTTTCACGGACGCCCCCGGCGCGAATGCCGAGCCAAATGTCAACTGGGACGACGGCATTGACGCGGTTGTCGACCAGTTTCTAAGCCACAAACACCTGAGTAACGAGCAGTTAACGGGGTAGCGACCTTGCCAGAAACTCGAAATCGCCCTGCTGATCACGTTGTACGTCACCATGTGGGCGTCAGCAGTTCGCGTCATGCGCTTGTGAAGCAAGGGGGCAAGGTCGCGCCGCCAGGGGGCGTAAACTAACCGCCATATCGATGGGCCGTTGACGGGTGTGGCAACGATGAAGATGGATGCACCAACTATTGAGACTTGCTGCTGGTCAGCGAGGACGCACCCCGAGACCGAACAACAGTCGTTTGGACAACTTTCGACTCGAGGGAAACCAAAGTAGTGCAGGACGTCCTGGGTTGGATTGTCTGCGGGTGGCGACGGCTTTTTTGGGGAAGGCCAAGTGCGCCGCCGTGGTCGCATCCAGATCGATTGGTGTCGAAGAAGACCTGATGTCATAAATAGCTGATTCGAATTACATAAATGGGTCAACGCTCGTTGTGGCTTATTCAAACGATTGATGGGACAGATCGTGGTGGTGAAAGCACTGGAACCGCTCGAGCAGGTCCTCGTCTTGGATTGCCAAGTCTTCGAACCAGCCCCACTCGTCGTCGACGTCGTCGTCAGGGGCCGTGGCAGTGTCATCAACTTGCACGGCGGTTAATGTCATGGCGAGCAATTGTTTGGGCAGGTCGAGCGAGTCGACTGGGTGGAGGGACGCTGACGACTGGGTAGGTTGCATCGCTTGCCGCACAAGGATGGGCGGCGTGCTCACTCGAGAGCAAATCCAATTGTGACATTCTTGTGTGTGGCGATGTTTTTCTGGACTTGCAGGGAAATCACTGCGGGTGTGGCGGTTTGATTGGCCCAACAAGCGCACAAAAAATTGTCATTCGATCGTCAGCGCGCCAAGGCGCGCTGACGTCGCAGGAACCTGGGACACCCGCGTCGAATTCGATACCGAACGCAAGATCGTGACGACCTCGATGCGGTGCCGTGACGATGCCATGGCTAGAGGTACAATCGCCGCATCATGGGACGGCATCCGACGTCAAAGAACACGCGGCACTGTGTAGGCCCCTCGACGTGGCTTTGTGCAGCTGAGGAACATTGAGTGGCTGCCACATCAGGTGGAGACAAGGAACCTCCACTTATGACGTGTAGTGTCATGACAACGCTTCCATTCCCTCTTCCCTCGAAAGGCATGGCTTGCTCGCGAGCTTGACTTCACTCGTGCCCTGCACATCCCATGCATGTTCGAGCCACACCTCCGGCGCAATTGAGACACGATTTTAATTAGCGTGATTTCAGAATATGTTTAAAATACTTTCGAAGCAGCGTGAAACAAGTAAAACGCAGCTTCAGAATCGAGAATGCGTGTGAATTGGCGTTGCACCTATAAAACGCACTTCAACATAATTAGTGTACTGCACACTATAAATGAATCACACTAATACCTACATTTTACATTATTTACACTCGATTTCGAACGCACCAATGAGCGACGTCCAAGTCGCAAAGTTGCTCCGCCAGCATCATGCTCGTGACGTACCCGGTTCTCGGCGTTGGGCAAGCCAAGCACTTGATTGCAATCTGCGGGGGCGGCGGGTCGGCTAAGACAGGAGTCAAGAACACTGTCGACGTATACTCGATGCCGTCCCGTGGGAAACCATACCGCCTCCTTGGCAGTGCCGACACAGGAAGCGAACTCCCGTCATCCGTGGCTATCTCGCCCGATGGGACATGGCTCGCTGTCAGCGTGAATGCGGCATGTTGGGTCTATGAGATCACTCCCAAGGTGGTCAAGGATGACAACGCTCCCGACGATGCCTCGCCCAGTCTCGACCTTGTACTGCGTGTGCGATTTCGAACCGACTTTAGTGCGGTGGACAGCAGTCAAACGTGTGCATGCTTCGTCGGGTCGCATACGCTGGTCACTGGTGGCGAAGACTCGGTGGTACGTTCAGGCTTCTCAGCGATCCCATACACTTGACTCTTGTCATGCCAGGTCCGCATCTGGTCGATTTCCACGACGAACGAGGCGACAGATGTTGCGACTTCATCATCTCTCGCTGTCGTTCCTCCATCGACCGCGTCGAAACAAGACGGCGAAGAAGCTGTAGAAAATGCCATTGTCCCGCCGGTGCCAGGCGATCAAGCGGTCCATGGCACGACGGTGGTCAGACTCACCAAAGAATACCGAGGTACGTCTCGACCACATTGACCCCACCGACCGATCGTGTCTCATCGCCATGCCCAGGACACACGAAGCGCATCAAACAAATTCACGTGGACCCGTTCAGCCGAAATGCTGTTGTGACATCGGACGAAGCGGCCACGTGCCATCTCTGGCGCCTGGACAAGCTCACGTCGTTCTTTCGGGCTACGGCACTCGATACGCTCGACCAAGTGTTCCAGTCGCCAGGGTTCCCCAAGCCACCAACGAAAGGCCCGGTCAAACACCAGTTTCGATGTGTCCGGTTGGCCCCGAATGGCCAAGCTTTGTTCACCGTGCTGTCGCCTCCTCGAGGCGACGCCTACCTTGTCAAGTGGGTCCCCATGACGCTGTCACAGGAAGATGCCACGTTATGGCCTTGGCGCGTCGCAGCCGTCGCTCTCGCTGGCCCCGAGCCCGTCGGCAGCTTGACTATCAGCGACGATGGTGCTGTGGTACGTGTCTTCCATTAGACGTGGTGCCGTCCATCGCGCACAAATTAAAGAGACGCTGCTCGCTCGATGTATAGGTCGTGACGGCGACTGCGTCGGGCGATATCTTTACCTTCAACGCGATTGACTTGACCTGCGGGACGAAGAGTAGCCCCGAAGATCACACGTTTGCCATCACGGGGCTCGTGTGCCAATCAGTTGTGCCTGACTCGTTGTACCGGCTGTGTTCGGCTGGAGCCGACAAGCGATTACTTATGCACCGCGTCGAGCTGTCGAGTAAGTTGCCGCTGACCATGCATGGCTCATTGGGCTCTTTTCTAGCCGCGAAGGACGGGTTGACCTGGCCTGGTACGTTCGTCGCGCTCGCGTTGAGTGTGGTCGTCGGTGTTATTGTGGCTGGGACGGGTCTGGTGTACTTTCACGCGTCGCAGTCGCTGCTTCTTAGCCATCCATTTCAAGGCATCAATGTACAGCCATTGCATTCGAAATTCCTTTGTTCACCCGGCCGTAGGCAATCCTAGCGTCCAAATTTGAATCGAACGACGCCATGGCAACCATCATGGCGTGCCTGGTCGGTCTCCTAGCCTCGCTGGTGAGCTGGATCGTGTGTCTTCAGTCCCGAGCTCTCCACGGCGTGTTCTGGATTGGCCTGGCTCTCCTGATCCTCAGCTGCGTGTCACTGTGGGTGGCTGCCACCGACGACTTGCGAGTGCAGTGGGTCAGCGGCGTCGACCTCCTCGAGTACAAGGCTTGCATCGTTACGGGCGTCACCGGCGTTGTCTTTTTGCTCCTGCACTCGATCGGACTCATGGTGCTGTGAGTAGCAGCATTCCTAATCGTATACTACTTTGGGTTATCCACTGCACCCGAATACGTGACTGGACGTCTTGCCAAGGGCTCTTGGCTCCGCTGGGTTAGGATGAAATGCCAAATGCTGTGATGGCGTACACTAGCGACATGGACACTGTTGAGGTAGCCACCGAGCTGCTACTTGGGGGTTTTACCCGGATGATCTCGAGCTAAGTGCCGATGCTAGCGCTGCTATGAGAGCAGGGCGTTTGGAGTTGCAGACGCATGTTAGTATTGACAAAGAACTAAAGACCAGTCGTACACCACCGCCGTGATCGATTCAACTGTCCGTCGACCTGCTTCTTTGGCTCGACGCTTTGCATCTAGGATGCATGACAGTAGCTTGTCCGGCATCCACTCGACCAACAGCTCATCATTCGTCACGTGTATAAGACATCCACGGTGCCTGGATTTCACAGCGCGCCAGCGACAGTGTTCGTGGATGCGTTCTCGTTGTTGCCGTGCAAATTGTCCTGATCCAACCCAATCGGGAACCACGACCGCGCCGTCACGTCCGCTGCATTTTGGGACGTCCGCATCGACCTGAACACTGCGCAAACTAGCGAAACTGCGATGCTATCCCGTCGTTGTTGAAGGTTTCCAACAGCATGTTTCCGTTGTTGCCTTGGCCGTGGACATCGTAGCTCGCCATGGCGTCCGCTCGCGCGGGTGTGTCACCATGGCCCATGATTCTTGTACAACGCGGATGCGCCGCAATCGTTCGCGACGATTTCCAGAGGATTAGTGAGGTACGGCTGGTAGGGGCGAACGGACAAAGGCCGCCTTGAACACTGCCACAACGATCAATCACCGACTGACTGCAGCCCATTTGTTCCTGTTCGAGCTCGAAGCGACGTGATTTCCTCTGAGGCTGAAGACCAAGAACTGATGACAACGGCGTCGCTGAGGCCCCCGACCCCCTCAACTCTGGCGCACCATGATGAGCAGACGCTCCTGAATTTGTGCCGAGACTGGTGGATTGGTGGCCATCCTTAAAGGATTCCATCAGGTCGTCAAACAAGTAGGCGCGCGATTAGCAACTGAAGGCAGGGGTAGGTGCGTATTCGTAAAAATCGTTAGGATTGACAAAACCAAGGGTTATGGGCAAGCATGGGATGGCACACCATGCGCAATACTTACTATGGAATCGGGAGCTGCCATTGCCCCGTGCGGCACTTCGGGAGTACTTTGTGTGTGTGAGCTGAAACCCGAATTAGGGGCTGCGTTTGATTCTGTCGTCTGATCGATCGACGTATGCCATGTGAAACAGTCGCGCTCACCCTACCTGATATGAGGTGCCGCGTCCGAACAGGGCATCTGTGCTAGACCTTGGCATGCAAGCCATACATCATGCCTCGGGGGCTCTTCCCGCTATGATGGATCCGCCTAAATGAGGCAAAAAAATCCCCCCCCCACGACTAGCCATCCGTTTGCCAAAATGGCGTTCCAATTGAGCGAAAATTTGGGAAGCCTGAAGAGATCAAAGTCTTGCAATGGGGGCTTGGTTCACTCCTTCATTCGTGGGCCCAAAGGCCCGAGAGAATCCTACGCATCACGTAAAACTTGTGTTGTAGTATTCGCTGAATCACGTGCGATATATGCATCGAGCTAGGTCAGATCCGCAGCTACGGACGAAGGTACACCAAACCTCTATTTGCATCGACGCTTTCCCCAATGTCATCTCAAACGAGAACATCGCAGGCTCTGCTTCTCGCAGTGGACTAGGCGAGGATTTCTTGCCGACTTGATGGCACGACCATCGCAAATTCGATGAAACTGCTGTGGCCACGTTTCGTAACGAAACGACTCGTTAGATCGTGTTCAACTCGAGGATGACATTCTTGGCGACCAGGCCACAGTCGGCACGACCATCGACGGCCCACCACCGGACCAAAACCAACAAAATCACGCTCGGGACGTATCGATTTCGCCCAGGCACGTCCAGTTTAGAACGAGTTGGGCCTGTGGACGTCCACACGCCAGTCTTGACCCTGCTCGGGCTCATGGCGGACGACATGTCGCCGTTGTATCATTCCGTGCACCACCTGAAAATGCACCGGTTTCGAGCGCACCTGCCAAGGTAAGACAGGGAGTTTCTCGGTGCTGTCAGTGCTTCACATTGCCGTGGCTAGCACGGTCATCATCGGCCGACATTCCGAGCCGTGTGCGTGGTACTATACCAACAAGGAAGGGTACGTCCTCAAGAAACACGCGGCGCACTGCACATGGAAGAACGTTCGGGATGCTTTTTGCGGCCGGTATACACCGAGGCACATGGAGCATGGCCAAGACAAAAACGTCCACTGGCCAGTCGCGGTCGCAAAATTCGACGATGGCCGCATGCGCGTCTTGACTCTGCACGCGTTGTATACACTCCTGCGATCGCTTGACGCAGAATTCCCCGCAAAAACCGCCGACATCCATCCGTTTTGCATCCAAGCCTTTGTCCCACCGGCCAAGCGCGTCCGATACATCAGTATATACACCCTGGTACGACTGGTGGACGGGTTTGCGAAAACTGGACGATTGAATTCATAGGTGCGCAATATCGGCGACTGCCACGTCGTTGTGGCAGAGCTTGCGTCCAACTACAAGGAACAGTCACACGACAGCGGGCACGACGTGGACGTGACGAAGGAGCCGATTGAGATCTTGGAAGCAGGTGGGTTGCAGCCGTCGCCATGGAGGCGGCGACCCGCCATGGCTGGTGATCGCCCAACGTATTCTTCTATGAGAAGTCAACGACCTTTCGAGTTGCGCGTTTGAGAGCTGCCGCGGCGGCCACGAACGACTCACCCTATTCATTTGCACGTAGAACACAGCATGATGGTCGAATCCATCAAGCGTACGACGTTGCTCCTCATTCACCACGTGAACCGCAAGAACTCGGCATCCAACACGCCCGTGATCAGCAAGCTCATTGCAGAGTACATGATCCACACCAAGGACAACGAAGTGTACTTGACCGCGATCCTGGGTGTGAGCTGGCAGAACGGCGACCAAGTTCAGATGGCCGATTTCCAGGTGCGACCGCACCTCGTCCACACGTTTCGTTACGCGTACGTCACACGCTTTGTGCAATGCTCAGACCGAGAAAATTCGCGATTTGACAGCCATCGACGACGTAACCAACCAAGCACGAAACAACGCAACAGGCGCTACTGTCGCGAAAGGGCTCCACCAAAATGCCGTGGTGAAACAAGTCAAGCAGTTTGCCCGGAGCTTGCAAGGCAGCACCGAGCTGTACGAAGCTGCGGAGCGACACGCGAGCGAGTGCCAGGCTGCGGCGGAGACGTTGCAAGCGCAAGTCGTGGAGCTGCAGGCCGAGCTAGAACACGTCAAGGCCAAACTCGACACGTCCACAGCTCACGCCGACGCCCAGCGGAAGATCAAGTGTCTGGAAGGCCGTATTGAGCTCCAGGAAAAGGAAATTGCCAAATTGGACGCCACACTCGCTGCGTACGAGACCAACACTGCGAAAGCGACGGCCGATTTGGATCGAGAAGTACGTGATGGAAGGGTCAGACAAATTTGAGTGGTCCTTGTTGCCCTGTAGCGAGTGCTCTTTTGCGAAGCGCTGAAAGCGGCCCAAGTTAAAATCGTCACGCTGACAGACACCATAGCCCAGCTCGAACAAGACAAGGCGCAGCTCAACACCCAAGTGTCGGCCCATGCCCAAGCGATGCGCGCGGCAGCAGGAACGATTGAAGCGCTACAAGGTGCCGTGGACAAGCAAAAACTCTCGACGCACCAAGTGTCGTCGAGTTTGCGGGACCTTCAGATTCAACTGAATGCGATGGAAGCCGAGAACGACAAACTGAAGGCACTCGTTCCGTTTGCGTCAGTCAAAAAGATCAGCTGGTGCAGTAAGATGCACCTGCACGACTTTGCCATGGAGTGGCCCGACTACCGAATGGAAATCGGCGTCCTCAATCGCGCGCTGGGGGCTCACTACAGCGTTCTCAAGCGAATATTCACTCAGTACCTCACCCTAAAGGTGCCACTCATCGGCCCGACCATCCCGCTCGGCCGGACGCATCCGCTGCTGTCAAATCAGCTCAACTACGCCCAGCTACTGGCGTGCATGGAAACTTGTCATATTATAACGACAAGGTCGTCGATTCTTTGTGGTTTTGGCTGAAGCACCTCATACGAGTCTCCATTAGGTTCACCCCGCCGCAGCTAGAAGTTTTGTATACAAAGTGCACGGCAGCTCGATGGCACCAAACCCACGGCCCCAAGCTCACGACGGCGGGGGTGTCGATGCCCCGCGGGATCGTACTGATTGAGTTTATGGAGCTATTGGTCCGGGTCGCCCATATTCGCGGCGGCGGGAAGAGCGGCCTTGTCGGCGAAAAGTTCCACACCTTGGTCGAGGACTGCATCTACCCTCAAGTACGTTGGAAAGACATTGAAGCCGTTGCGCTCAAATAATGGCATAACCATCGCAATGAGATAAACTCCCCACGTGAGTGGCACACCGTGTGGAGACCAACCATCAGCCATCGAAAGAAACAATTCAACGCTGTGGTTTTTCTATGCATGCAGTGACAGCGTTTTGTCCGATTTGTCGAGAGCCATTGTTGTCGGGGGCTTCCGCGACGTAACAACGGATTGATTTGGTGGGCTTGTGATGGAGTTGGCCACGGCCATCACCACCCCCTGTCCTCGACGCAAGGATAGAGTAGCGTACCCGATGGTGGGGACCATCCCTACTTTTCCCAATGTCACAATTATGAAGAGATGCATCCTCCAGGGTGGGCATCACTGCCATGACCTGGAATGTTGAAAACGTCGTCGTAGTCTAACGAGCGTATAAGCATTGGAAGTACGTCCCACGGGGGGGTTTAGTCGTCTCCTTCCAGAATTTCAGTGGCCCCTTGCAATCACCGATCGCACCTGACGTCCTCGGCGCCACACCGAGCTTGACAGCCACCGAGCGGTTCGACCCAGCGACTTTCGATCTATACTCATGTGCACCCGGGCCATCATGCTACGTGTATGCAGCATCGTCATGCTCAAGAGTATTTTTGTCAATCATGCCGCGGTGGACGATTTGGAATAAAAATATTTCCCGAGCGATCAACTTGAACGATCGTTAGAAATATTTTCCACTCGTTGCACTATCTTGAAATATCCCGTTCAACGAATTCACAGTGTATGTCGTACTAACAGTAGATACGAGTAATACTAGTAGGTGGGCCATAGAAAACGTGTTTGAAACACACGGAATCGGCAACTGGCATGGCTGCACAACATGCGCCGGCGACGGTGAAGGTAGCGATTGTGCAATACGAGCCACAGATACACCAAGTGAAGGCGAACATGGAGACGGTCACGCGCATGCTGTCCCACCTGTCGGAAGCCGACGGACTGCACATTCTCATGCTTAGCGAGGTGCGTGTTCGATGACAAAATCCCACCAAACCTTGGAGTTCATGCACTTGTAGATGGCTTTCACGGGGTATTGTTTCCGAGACCGCGAAGAAATTGAGCCATTGGCCGAGGAACCGTCGAAAGGGCCAACGTTTGAGTGGTGCCAGCGCCATGCAAAGAGGCTCAAGTGCCTTGTCGCATGCGGCTACGTCGAACGCGGCGACGATTGCAACTTGTACAACTCCATGATGGTGCTCAGTCCTGCAGGCGACCTCGTGTTCAATTACCGAAAGGTACGGCGGTCACTGGAGGCGTTGTCCCCGCTCATGCCACTGGTAGGTGTTCCTGTACGAGACGGACAAGTCGTGGGCGACGGCCGGATCTGGCTTCGGCGACTGGTTCTGCCCGTGGCTCGGCCAGAATCTGTCCTTTGGTACGGCCAACTTGTTTCGCCCATGGTCATAGCGAGGGGTCCTCACCGTGACGCGTGGAGGCATCTGCATGGACATCAATCCGTGCGACTTCGAAGCGCCGTACGAAGCGTACGAGTTTGCGTCGAGCATTCTCGCCGCCCAAAGCTCGCTGGTCTTGTTTTCTAGCGCCTGGAACGACCACAATCCTTTGGAAACAGACCCGTCCTCGTTGCCGACGATCCAGTACACATCCAACGGATCTGTCACCCGAAGCATGACGTGGTTGTCCGTAGGTACTGGGCAAATCGACTCGTGCCAGTCATCGACGAAATGTCCAAGGTCGGGACGGACCGCAACTGCTACTTTATCTGCTCCAACCGCACCGGTGTCGAGCGCGGCACGTCGTTCGTTGGCGGGTCCTGCATTCTGTCGCTGAAGGAGCCGAGCATCGTCGTGGCCGCGAATCGGTTTGAGCACAAAGTCCTCGTGGCGAGTCTGCGCATGACATCATGTTAAACGAGATGCGATCTATGTTGAAATGGCCATCCGTCGATGCGACGACGTTGTGCGCTTTTGCAGGCGTCACAACCCCCGATCTTTGCATCGAACGCATCCTGTGCAGAATCCGTGACAACGTAACCCCTCCCCCGTCAAATCCCACCCCGCACTACTCGCACTACTGATCCATGCACATACTGCCTTGCTCCTCATTGCCAACTTGGAATCTTGTCGACCAGCACAAGCTCTTCACAACAAGGACATCTCGCGTACGTGAGGGGTCAGAAAACACGGTGTAAGGGTGCTCCTGTGGTGGGCAGACCTGGACCGTACGCATTTCCACAATGGATGCTGGACGGACAGTTGGCGCTGGCTAATAACACGGTCGTTCGCGACGATAAGCGCATTGAACCAGAACACGGGACCACCGCGACCTTGGCATGGGCAGTGCGCACTTGAGTACAAATGGCACTGTGCTGCTTCTTGGGTCTCGCCTGCGTACGTCGCGATCTTCAACTCCCGCACCAGTGCGTTTCGAAAACAAGAGAACATACATCGCTTCGAAATGACTGGACTCGCGGACGTCCATCCAAGCGATGTCAAAAAGAGCGATGGGCGACATTCCCTCGGCGCCTACCCGCCGTTCATCTGGGCGCCACGAGCATCGCTTTCTCCCATGCACTGCCTCACCCGTGCCGTGCAATCTGGGAACACGACCAACGCTTTGAAAAAGTAGAGTTTCTACGGACCGGACGGCCGTGTCTCAGTGTCTACAACAGGCAACGTCGACAACGACTCGGCGAGCTTGGGATGGAGCTGTGAGAGGACCGAGCCGAGGGTATCCATGTCCAGCTGCCTTTCTGCTGCGGCCGTCAGCGACCGCCGGCGCGAAGCGTTCGGCGGAGATCCGCCAACACGTCTGATGCAGATCCTTGGCAGTTTCGAGCATCTCCTCCAACGGCAACCCGTGGAAGCCAAAAATACATGCGCGTGGTAAGTGAAATGCCATTTCCCAAACCGACCCGGCCGACGGGAAGGCGGCGCGAACGAACATGCACAACATGAAGTGTGTCGTGGTGGGGGACGGCGCGGTCGGCAAGACGTGCGTCCTGATCTCGTACACGACGAACGCGTTCCCTGGCGAGTACATCCCGACCGTGTTTGACAACTACAGCGCCAACGTGATGGTTGACACCAAGCCGATCAACCTCGGGCTGTGGGACACGGCGGGCCAGGAAGACTATGACCGTCTGCGGCCGCTGAGCTACCCCCAGACGGACGTGTTTCTCATCTGCTTTTCCGTCGTGAGTCCCGCGTCGTTCGAGAACGTCAAGGCCAAGTGGTTTCCCGAGATCCAGCACCACGCGCCAGGCGTGCCGTTCATCCTGGTCGGGACCAAGCTCGACTTGCGCGACGACGAAGAAACGATCGAGCGACTCAAGGAGAAGCGCTTGAAACCCATCACGACGGAGCAAGGCGAAGCTCTCAAGAACGAACTTGGCGCGTTCAAGTACCTCGAGTGTTCGGCGCTGACACAAAAAGGTCTCAAGCAAGTGTTTGACGATGGGATTCGGTGCGTCCTGCAACACCACAAGAACCCCAAGAAAACGACACGAAAATTTGGCGGGTGCAGCATCCTCTAACTCGCCCAATCTATCTATTCTGACCCCAGCAGAGGCACAACAACAGCAACGAACCAGCAAACAGCAGCACATCTGCCCTCACGATTTAGAGCTGCAACGCAACCAATGACAGCCAACCACAACACAACGGAGACCACAATTAGACTCTGGGTAAAAGAACAGACAAACATAAACGACAGGCAGATCAACATGTCCCTGCTGCTCAAAGGTACGCGACCCCACCCCACAACTCAAAACCACCCACGAAAAGACAAACAACAAGCCTCACCCCAGAGGTGCTGAACGCGCAGACAACAAGCCGACTGGTCTGCCGTGGCTCGAGGAAGAATAGATAGATTGGGCGAGTTAGAGGATGCTGCACCCGCCAAATTTTCGCGTCGTTTTCTTGGGGTTCTTGTGGTGTTGCAGGACGCACCGAATCCCATCGTCAAACACCTGCTTGAGACCTTTCTGTGTCAGCGCCGAACACTCGAGGTACTTGAACGCGCCAAGTTCGTTCTTGAGAGCTTCGCCTTGCTCCGTCGTGATGGGTTTGAGGCGCTTCTCCTTGAGTCGCTCGATCGTTTCTTCATCGTCGCGCAAGTCGAGCTTGGTCCCGACCAGGATGAACGGCACGCCTGGCGCGTGGTGCTGGATCTCGGGAAACCACTTGGCCTTGACGTTCTCGAACGACGCGGGACTCACGACGGAAAAGCAGATGAGAAACACGTCCGTCTGGGGGTAGCTCAGCGGCCGCAGACGGTCATAGTCTTCCTGGCCCGCCGTGTCCCACAGCCCGAGGTTGATCGGCTTGGTGTCAACCATCACGTTGGCGCTGTAGTTGTCAAACACGGTCGGGATGTACTCGCCAGGGAACGCGTTCGTCGTGTACGAGATCAGGACGCACGTCTTGCCGACCGCGCCGTCCCCCACCACGACACACTTCATGTTGTGCATGTTCGTTCGCGCCGCCTTCCCGTCGGCCGGGTCGGTTTGGGAAATGGCATTTCACCTACCACGCGCATGTATTTTTGGCTTCCACGGGTTGCCGTTGGAGGAGATGCTCGAAACTGCCAAGGATCTGCATCACACGTGTTGGCAGATCTCCGCCGAACGCTTCGCGCCGGCGGTCGCTGACGGCCGCAGCAGAAAGGCAGCTGGACATGGATGCCATTGGAAAAGTGATCATGTCGGCGAAGGTAGTCCTGCGGTGCTTGGACGTCCGTCGGGTTCGCTCACTTGCGGGTGTCGATGGGCAATTGGGCAATTGGAATTCCCCTGCCAATGCTTTGGCTATGACGGTTGTGTTGCTCGAACGGGGCGTTGTTTGACGGCTCTGTCGAACGTGCGATCTCGAGGTATCGATCACCTCGGCGGATCGTTTCACGCGAGCGCATCTTCTGCACTAGGCGACCCGCGTCCTCGTCATGCCTGCCGTCAATCTTCGGCGGCAAGTCATGTATGTGGCAACCGCACGAGCCGTCACTTGAGTTTGCTCAAGCGGTGTCCATGGAATCACAGTACACCAAAGAAACGTGCTGCCAACGACATGCTGCCGTAGAGCTGACTACGCATGGAAGATGCGGACTGCGGCGGCTAGAAGTGTGGAGTCTCATGGGCACCGAGTTCAGTATTGGTCTCGGTCATGGCTCCGTGAAACGAAGATGTTCGAACAGTGTGCATGACGACGATGCAAGTTGCGAATTGGACGGCTCAAGACGCGATCGGTTGACGTGTGCCAAGTCGGTGGCATCGCACGACGAAAGCATGATGAGGAAAGTAGAGCGCAACTACTTTGGTTGGGGTCGAAGCAATCGACACGCCCAAGTTTGCCTCCGACCCCGTGCCGATCTCGTCGATATCAAACGAAACGACGACACAAACGACAGCACCATGTATTCATTATTGCAACGACTAGGGGAGGTTGTAGTGCGTGCGGTTGGTGTACACAAACTCTTGGAATTCGGCGGGGCAGTGGGGGAACTTGATGGCGGGATTGGGGGTGTCGGGGGTAAACAACGACTTGCCCGACGTGTACGAGATGTACACACTCAATGCAGAGCAAAGCACCAACACAAAAATGCACCACACGCGCTCGTAGACTGGCAGGGTCTTGCCAAACGTCTTGAGTGTGAAGAGGACGGGCAAGATCATGCTTGTCATGGCCGTGGATGACGCACCGACGAAATCGAGGATGTCCATGAACTGGTCCTTCCACACGATCGCCAGCACGATGGTGATGCCGACCATGAAAACGCGCAGTACCATGGCCTTGAGGTAGTCGATGGAGCTGTTGTATGTCGGGGCAACCGACTCGGCGACACCGTCGGTTTTGGGCGATTCCAACGTGACAAAGTCGTCCACTTTCTCGGCCTCGTCGTCCGAAACTTGGTGGAAGCCAAACAAGATGCGCTCAATGATGTAAAAGGTCGGGAACACAATGACAGCGAATGCCACCGTGCAGTGCAGCTGCATGGAGAGGAAGGCGAGAACGATGCCGCCGCGGGATGCTTCGAAGCCGAGCTTTGTCCCCGTGATCGCAAAGAGCAAGTTGCCCGGGATCTGGCACCCCACCGTGGACACACCCGTGATCGAAATGATGAGAAACAACACGGAACAAACGCCGAGCGTAAATACGATCACACGGGGCATGCGCTGCGGTTGCGTATGCTCTCGTTGGAGAGCCGGAATCACGACCCCCGCCGAGTACCCGAGCGACAGGTTGCCAAACACGGAAGTGACGCTGGCAAAGGTCGGAACTGGTGGCGGCGGCGCTAGACCTGCTGGGATCGGAGACATGTTGGACACGAGCACGTACAGCGCAACAACGTCCGCGATGAGTGTCCCTGCCGCGCCGGCCGCCGCCACTCCCGCGCTCTCCTTCAGGCTCGGCATCAGGCACACAGGCATGAGCACGAGGCCCATCAGGATGATCCACGTCGTGTCGTCGTACGTGCCAGGGAAGAGCGTGGTGAGGAGCGTCCCGCTCAGCACGAGAAACGCAATCGGGACCATCCAGCACACGAGCAGCTGCGTGACCACTGTAACATATCGACCGGGCTTGCCTAGACACCACTCACCCAGATCGCCGTACGTCTTGACCTTCTTGGGCGCTAGGAGCAGCACTTTGCTGATGCTGGCCGTCGTGTAAATGTTGATGGCCGCCATGAGTAGCACGGCTGCGGTCCCCCAAACAAAACCGGCACGGGCGTAGTTTCCAGGCATGCCGAGCGTCCCGACCCCATACACGACACAGAACAAGTTGAACGACAATTTCAAGTCTTCGACGGTCAAGAACGTCATGGTTGAAGCCGTATATTCCAGAACGAAGCAAGTTAGAGACTGGAGATTTCACCGGCGGGCACCAAGTTGGTGGACGTCGCTCACAGTCGATGTTTCAACGGATTCGTTGCAATTGGTTTCATATGTTGATCGCTTCTGGACCAACAAGAGTGATCGCTCGGGCGTTGTCACCGGCGCTACGAGAAGGCAAGTGTGCGACATTGCTTCACATATGCAGCCAAAGGTCGATGAATCGGATTGCGCGTCTTGTATTGGCCAATGCATGCAGTGGCTTACCCAACATCGCGAGATGCCTGGGTGTGTCGTTCGAGCGTCCTCTCGAACCCTGGTGTCAGAGGTACTGAGCATTTGACACAGCATGCAGCCTAGCGCGAGCAAAATAAAACGATCACATCTAAACGGACCTCACCATGGAGTTTGTGGACCCGTCCGTCATCGACGACTGCTCCTTCCATCCGTGTGTGCGGTATGCTCGGTACAAGCGGGAACCCGTCAGGTAGCGCGATGCATATCTCGTCCAAAACTGAGACGGTTGTGCCAGTCACGGTGTAGAGCTCCAGCAGCAGAGATGTCGACTTTGGACGCGTTCGCCTCCTCTTCTACCTGATTGCACACGACCGCGGTAACTTCATCAAATCCGCTGATGTCGATCGTCTCCGCGCAGCCGCCGGAGATGGCACCGTCGTTTGAGTGCTTACTGGTCGTGCCTCACCATGGAATTTTGTTAAATCACGTCCCGCTTCAACCTCGTATCAAACGGAAGTCTCGGCGGTGCGTATGAGTTCAAAATTAACTGTAAACAATCGGCTGATTTTGCAACAAGAATCCATACTCAATTTTTTCAACAACTTTCCAGTGAGACGAGTTGGACAGTTCTCGACACTTATTGCTTTTGCTATCGGACCTTTTCACACTCAGCACACGCAATGTTACCACCATGGACATCATGGTCCCAGTGCTTGCTCTTCTAGCAGTCGTCAATGACAGAGTGTTGAGCTCACGTGCGATCAGCATACCTCTCGAACAGGACGTAGATCTCATAAAGGAGGTGATTGCAGTCTCACCACACGATGCTCCATACGGCCAAATGAGTTCTCGATGGTCAGAGGTTGGGAGCAACATGCGTGCCA